TTCTAACCCCCTGCCTTCCCCATCTTTCATTTGCCTGTCTTTGTCCTGTGAAGTAACCACACAGATCCAGTTCGTGGGGGGAGACTGATGCTGGCAGGCCGTGAACACCATCTGGTCCTCTCCGCTAAGAGAGAGCAGCTCGGCCACACTCAGCTGACTGGGACCGGACACACAGTAAAACCACAGGCTCCTACTGATTGGTGAAAAAATACTATAATGTGAATAATTATGCAAAACAACAGCGTCAGACATGGTTGAGTTGAGCTAATTTACTAAAATGAATAGTTTGAAAAGGCTTAAAAAGCAGCCTATAGCAGCACCTGTAGAGCTCCTCGACTAACATGTTACATCTTGTTTAATTTGATTCATCCAAAGCCTGAAGAGGAAAAATGACACATTATGGCGTCTGCTGTTGTCCCCCTGCCTCCAGTCTTTATGCTAAGCTAACTGTCCTCTGGCTGTATCAGTCAGTATCAGTCTAGTTGTCAAACTATTCCCTGATAGGATCAGTTTCATATCTAGCTTTTTGGAATAAAGAAGTTTAAAGAATCAAGTTTTTAACCTTGTGAACATCCATGTGGTGCTTTTTTATATAATACAGGAGTAAAATAATGAGTAAACATCATGACTGAGAGTTTCCACCTGGAACCACAGTGAACCTAAGGAACCAATCCTGTCAACTTGTGGGGAAGAGAGCGAGAGTTAGCATTAGCACAATCACTAACACTGTGTCAGCCACTGCCAGTTACAAGCTAACAAACAACATGAATAAATAAAAAGATGCTAACTGTTGAAACATCTGCTAGTCGAATTTATTTTCTTGAATAATTTAGTGCATTTTGATGCACCAGAAGTGATAAAGAGTTGTGTCAGTCATGTTATTCTTTTATGCTCTGAATAAAGCATGTTCCCAAATTGTCACCTTATGACCTGCGTCCATTTCTTGTGTACGTCACAAGTCCATGCTGCACTTCTGTGCTGCTGCTTCTGATTCAGGACAGTATACTGGTTATGGTGTATACTGTGAAATATGATCACGATGATGTTAAAAAGGTAAGTTCACCACAACCACACCCACTCAAAAACAAACCTGTTATAAACCTGGCTCATGATTTTCAACAAACGAGAATCTCCACATTCAGGAAAGTTGATAGAAGGTATTAATTAAACTAAACCTGAGAACTCAGTGAAATATGAGGATGTTGGGCATCTGTGGCGTTAAGCGTGTGTGCAGTTTGGGTGAAGGAAAATAACACAAAACACCTCATCTAAAGCAACAGCTGCTCAGCAACAGAGCGAAAGAGAGAGAGAGAGAGAGAGAGAGAGAGCAACTCAAAGGAAAGCAACCCTTTATAACCTTAGGCCACTCCCTCTCCAGGTGCAGCCAACTAATGTGGACAAGCCTCTCAACACCGGCACTCCTGGAAACAACCAACCGGAGAGAATTAAAGCAGCAGATAGAGAGAGAGACTGTCACAACATATATTCTCACTTTAGTAGCTACTTAGCGGGTGGTTTCGCTATAAAGCCCCTAAAGAGACAAAAGCCTTTTTTTTTCTAGTATGCACCAGAAACTTGAAAAACAAATGTTTTCTTATGTCCGCTGTAGACGGACCGTATAGAAATATAAAATATACACTATAATGGAATTTAAAGTTACATTTGAAAAGCTCTACATCAGTGTGTCTTTCTAAAAACACACACACTCTTGGCCACAGATCTGTCCGTGAACTCACTTACATTGATGCCACACAGTGTGTAATCAAAAATAAGCAAAATTTAAAGTTTTTGGTTTACTTTTATGAAGAATTCAAAGTACAGAGAACAAGAGAGATTTCGTTATTTCATGCAATATATAATATTCTATTGGCTATACACCAATTGAATGTTTTTTTTATTTTAATTCATTTATTTTGTGATTCAGGTGAACTGATTCTTTCAATATACAAATTCTGTATTCTATTACTACACAGTATTTGGGAAGCAGAGAAGTCAGTCAGAAGCTCTAAAATGTATTAAAAACACAAATTCATAGTAAGAGCTGCCCAGTAACGCAGCTGCAGTAACAGCAGTGCTCAAAGGCACCTTGCCCTCATCAGTGGGTCTCTCACTTTTCCCAGCCAGACTCGGGGGGGTTTGCACCAGTGACCTTTGGGGAATGAAGGATCATGTCTGAGTGCTGATGTGAGTAATTATGTTTGATTTCAGACTGTGAAACCATGCAGCCCAGTTGGTGCCTCCACTACTGTGAAGTGTGAGACTGAATCAGGCTGTCTGCAACCATCTGATCAGTCAGGCCACAGCTTCACTCAGTGACCCACAGTCTCTACATGCTTCCAGTGCACAGCGTGGACCGATCTGTCGCCCCTCTCCACTGAAACGTCTTACTGAAAGAGCCTTCAACAGACATTTAAATCACTGCCCTACATCAAGAGATGAAATGACATCCACATGGCAACAGCAAAAATAGATCTGTAGGCCTTGTGGTTGCAAATATTTTCAGCACAGCATCACTGTGACTGAACAAACACTGATCAGCTTCTCCTGTCCTCAGAATAATGTTAAGCTAAAAATAGTCTGAAATCAAATAGACCAGTTTAGGTCGATTGAAGCTGAATTGAGTCCAAGCTTTGGCATTTACATAACGGCTGGCAGTTTTATTGGGAAAACTGCACGAAACTGTGGAGCAGGGAGTGGCAAAAATTCAGAGATTACACTTAAAATCTTGTGTTTAGTGCGCAGATTGGAGCTGAGCATAAATAAATGAAGAAGAGCACAAGAGTACTTAGAAAAAGAGACAGAACATTTTAACCAAGAAGAAACGACAGCAGGATTTCTGAGCATTTACAGACCAAAGAGAATTTATAGTGATATGAGGAATAAGAAAAGCTGATACAAAATACATTTCCTTTTCAGAAGCAGGTCATTTGTCAATTTTCCATCTGGCTCTGTGGCTGGTGATCTATTTTCCAGGTGTTATTCTCAGGGTGAAAAATTATTAGATGGATTAGTTTTGTCTAGGTTTAGAAACCATGTCACCTGAGGACATTTTAAAAACTTAGTTTCAGCGCTGCTTCTACATCCTGCCAGTCCTTTAAAAGGTGACTGTCAACTCACTTGAAAGTTACATTATGAACCTGTTTCACCAAGGATGTAATTTTGTGACATGTGGCCCTTTAAAGCTGTGACATTTTCACCTTTTACATTCTCCTTTCTGGGTTCATACCTCAACAGCTCTGTCCAGCACATTGCAGCAGTTCTGCCCTTATATCATGCACCACTTGTTATTGCTAATTCAGCTTTGTTAACTTACACAGTAAAGGCTGTGTGTGCGCTGATGCTCCTGGCATGTATCAGCAGAATACTATAGAAACTGTGGGTTGCAGCTGACTGCTCCCTATAGATTCCAGTACTGCAGTTTGCTTTCTGCTGCTTGCATGTGTCAATCAAACACTGTGCATGTTGTGAGCACACAGCAGCATGTCATCATAAAATCTTTATATGCTCCTGTGTTGAAATTTTGTCAGCTGCATTTATGCCTCAATTTAAAAACAAGATTTGCTCGAAGATGACATCATATTATATTTTCCTTATTGATACCCCATCTTCTTTTTCCTCCTCCCTCCCCAGAGAGGACATGGTCACAGTCAGAGCATGGCGCACCGAAAGGACAAGGAAGGAATGCTGATACACCTGTATGGTCTGTCTCAAGAGCGGTGTCCTCTGTTCTTGAATGTGCTTACTCTCTTTTCCCTGAAACCATTTGATTTCTCACGAGGGGCCACAGACTAGAATATATCTGTATTTTCAGTAATTCAGTAATCAGTAAAACACTGGGAAATAAGAACAGGTTTAAAAGACAGGGTGAATGCAATGGGAGAGACAAGATTTATGATTCTATTTGGAAGCTGGCTCTCTGTAGGGGACATTTTTTGACAGAGAAATCATGCCTGTATAGATTTTATTCATGGTTATGAATTTCCTGTTTATGGTATTGTTTTACTTTTAATTCTATTCCACTGTGAAATATGTGTTCCTTATTTTCATTTTTATGTTATGTTATGTTATGTTATGTCGTGTCGTGTCGTGTCGTGTCATGTCGTGTCGTGTCGTGTCGTGTCATGTCATGTCATGTTATGTTATGTTATGTTGTTCATTTACTCTAGTTTCTACTCCTGTTACCCTGGCATGATGTAAAGTTGCACTTACTGCCATGTAAATTTCAAGATTTCATGTATTTTATATACAAAAGTGAGTTAGTAGGACTAAGTTGACAATTCTCCTTTTCTCTCGCTGAAAATTTTTAGACTCTATGAATATGCTAATATATATTTCAAAACTAAAGCTGCTGGACAAGAAATGTATCCTACTTTACTGAAAAGTCCATTTCTATGTGTAAATAGCATGTGACAGGCTTCCAGGCTAGTTTTGATGCCACAAAATCATTCTCACAGTAAACACAAACTTCCAGTTTTCAGCAGATGAATATGGAAACAGCATTTGACTATGAGACTCTGCACATATGTCAGTGAAGGTCAGACATAGTAGTGAAGTAACAACAAGCAAAAAAACATTTTTGAGTAGAGAGAGATTATGAAGTTGATTAAAACCTAAAGCTGGGCCAAGATACAACCATTTGTGACACTAAAACTTCCAAAATCCACTATCATTGACTGGGTGGAGCCATGAAAAAAAAGCACTATAAGAGAGACAAATGACCCCAAATCCCATAATATGTGTTTTTTTTCCTATAAATTGTTTTGTAGAAGATTACTATGGATTACTGCTTTACCAGATTTGCGCTCTAATGTGAAAAAAATAAACGCTAAAAGGCCACATTTGAGCTAAATGAAGCTCATTGTCTAGACGTTAAGTCACTAAGAACTACAATTCCCAAAAGCGCCCGGTAGTTGGGACTCAACCAATGACTGGCGGGGAACGTCGTGACGGCACTCGCTTTGGTCCATTTATGTGCGCGCTCGACACGCTCGCGCAGAGGGCTGGCGGTACATCGTGTGAGAGAGGAGCTCAGCATCCACGGCTTGTAGAAGGTGGGTGTGACAGACAGCATCTTTTGAACAGAAAAAAAAGTCTTCAGGAATTATCTTTTCTTTTCTTCCGTAAGTACAAACGTTGCTGATTGAATCATGTTGTAGAGAGATACAAGCGAAACAAGTTAAATGTGTTTGTGGGGTAGTTTTTTTTTTTTTTTTGGGGGGGGGGGGGGGGGGGGGGGCTGTTTGTTCAATTTTCCTTAACCGTTTTTTTTTTTTTTGTGGGTTGTTAACGGCTTCTGTTAGCTTAGCACGTGCGCTAACTTTTATTGTAACTGACAGGTTGTTGGTTGATATCTTCGACCTCATTGACCATTTTTTGTTAATTTTGGGTAATTTCAACGAAGAAATGAGACCGAAGCGGCGGTTGTTGGGGCTCTTTGTGGCTGCTGGTTGGCGGGTAGTTAGCCTATTGTATGGTGAGAGACACTGGCACAGTTGGCACCGACAGACAGACAGACAGACAGACAGACGGGCAGACAGGCAGACGGAGGATAGACTTGGGAGGACTTCTTTCATGTCTGAGAGATTTTGTGGGCTGCAAACACATTTTGTCAATTCTTAACTCCCTCCTCAGCGGCACCGGTATGTGAAAAGCTTCATTATTCCCTTTTTTTTTGTGGAAATAACCTGCCTTCAGCTCGTCTTTGTTTGCAGCTGCTCGTCACGTTGCTGTCAAAAGCGCCTTTGTTTGATGCTGTTTGTTATGCCTGAGCTAATGACACTAGCAAGCTCACTGAAAACTGACTCTAAATGAAGGACATATATTGTCATTGTCAGCGAGGACATTGTTAAGACGGAGTCAGTCAGCAGTTCACTAAAATGCCAACCGTGGGTGTCATTTTGGTATGGCAAGGTGTGGGCATTCACCAAACCTCATTCTAATTATGCCAATCAGTTTTTAACTGTTCTTTGTATTATATGGAAAGCAAACGGTATACAAATGCCACATTTCACTTAGTAAGTAGCCTTTATTCAATAATAGGGGAGGGGTCTTTCACTCAGTAAGCCCAGCTGATTTTTGGTGATCGTTTGACTCGCATTAACCACTTGACCAAATGGCATGACAGCTGTTTTCGCTACCCGCCCATTCTCAGATGTAAGTTATATTTAAGTGTTTTTTAACATAGTTAAATTAACATTATTAGTGCAAATACATTTGAGCAGCAGGATCCATTTATTCAAGCTCGCATTGTGTGTTTGTAGACTATACATTAACCCCTCCCCTTCTGCAGCTCAAACACACGGTGCAAGGAACAGGTGCTCCCTGATGATTTTCCCCCGGACATGCTCATTGCTCACTAATCTCATTTCAGATGGAGCATATTGGCTGTTTAGAAGGCCGATTCCAGGCCTGTCTGCACCTGGCACTGCTGTACCCACCCTGGTCACAGCCTTTTGTTTCAACAAAATGTGGCTTGTGTCGTTCATTAACAATTAACGCGGCGGTAGGTAGGCTTTTGAAAAGCCCTCTCCTCCCCCCTCCTGTTGTCTGAAGCGATTTGATTGCTTGCTGATCGATCTGAATGTCAATGCAACCACAAGTTAGAAAATTGAACAATTGTGTGTGTGTGTGTGTGTGTGTGTGTGGGGAACATGCAGGCATTGAATGCCTGTGCCGTTTTGTGTGGATTGATGGGCGGTGGTTGGTTGCAGTGCTTAAAGTGAACACCGGGGGTCGCGATTGGTCCTTGTTTTTAGCTTGGATGGTTATGATGGAGGTGGTTGACTTGGAAATGGTGTAAAAGATCCGCTAGAGGTCACTAATTTTAGAGCCATGTAAGGGACAACAATCTGACCTTTTTCTTATCTTTCCCCTTTAGGTAAATTGACCTGCAGCACACTCTTAAGATGGCATCCTCACCACCTGAAGGTGAATAAAACCTCTAATTAAAAACTGAATAAACCATTTGCTGAATAATGGTTGAGTGTGCCTAAACACATTATTTTACCTTTTCTGTGTTCAGATATCCAGGTCAAGGAGCTTGACAAGCGGGCCTCTGGCCAGGCCTTTGAGGTCATCCTGGTTGCTCCTACCCCAGATGCCAAGGGCGAGTTCCCCCTGTCTCCTCCCAAGAAGAAGGATGTCTCACTGGAGGAGATTCAGAGGAAGCTGGACGCTGCGGAGGAGAGACGCAAGGTAAAAATTCATACCATGGAACAAACTTTGAGCTTGGCGTGTCCTAGAAAGCTAAACTTTTTTTTTTAAGCCAGGAGCTGTTTCAATCTGAAATCCATTGGCCTCATCAACTAAAATGTAATGTGACGTTTTTATTTTTAAACTATCCTTCTTTTTTTTTTTTTTTTTTTTTTTCTTAGAACCATGAAGCCGAGGTTCTGAAGCACTTAGCTGAAAAGCGTGAGCATGAAAAGGAAGTGCTACAGAAAGCTATGGAAGAGAACAACAACTTCAGCAAGATGGCAGAGGAGAAGCTCAATCAGAAGATGGAGGCCAACAAAGAGAACCGCACAGCAATTATGGCAGCGATGAATGAGAAATTCAAGGAGAAAGTCAGTGTTTTTGAGTTGTTGTGGATAAACCTACTCTTTTTTTCACCATGGTGTTTAAACTTAACATTTAATGTTTTTGTCCTCTCTTTTAATAGGACAAGAAGTTGGAGGAGGTGCGGAAGAACAAAGAAACCAAAGAGCCCAACTCGGAAGAAGGCACTTCGGAAGACTGAAAGTTACAAAGGGGGGATTGTATAGGGTTTTTTACGTATCCAAAGATTGATTTATTTTTTGTTCGGCCAGTATTTTTGTTGTGTTCACTACCCACCTTTTTGAAATAAGAAATACAAGTTCCACTTTGTGAATTTTTCAATTCTCCTGCTATAAGTGTACTTGCGCTGGTTTTACATGTGGATCATTTTCCTCCCTTTTGAGTCTAATCCATTTAATATGTAGCTTGTCAGTGCAGCTTCAGCCCTTTTTGGAAATTAGCAGTGTGTACTTATCCTTTTTGAGGAAGCATGTTTCTATGCATAGGTCTTTTGTCCCTGCCTATTTCATAGTGCATTTTGAAAATGTCTCTGTGAACCACACCTGTTCTCAGCACTTACTGTATTTAAAAAAGGAAAAAAAAGGAGAAAAAAAAAAGTAGCACAAGGTTTGATCCAGGCGTCGGCTGTTACACATGCAGGTGTTTAGTGCAGCTTTGCTACCGAGATTCTACTAGTTTGCTCCTGCAGGTCATGTTTTGTGCCGCTGCTGAGTTGCTTTTGTAAAAATATTGGGGTTGTCTTCAAGCACATGACTTCTTGCTGTATAGCTGTGAATTAACATGTCAGACATGGAAATGGATGCCACCTTGAACATCACTGAACAGGGGTCTACACATGGAATGCAAATGAGCAATACACTTTGGCATCTCAATAGATACAGTGGCTAGTTGACTTGAACTGTTGTACTAAAACAAATAAAAAAATGTAAACACACAATTGGTGTCTGATATTATATGGTTGGGCCTACTGTAGAAAATGAGGGGGTGAACTCTAATGCATAATCTCAATGAGCAAATCCAGCTTCTACCTACCAAATGTCTCAATTTCCTTAATGACTTTGAGCAGATTGAGGCCTCTAGTCTTGAGAATACACTTGCAAGGTTTGGCCTATGTTTAATGGGCTTCAAATCGTGACACTGAAACAAAAGGCCACCTTGTGATATTGCCTCCCAGTGAGTTAACTTATCAAACCTTCCGTTTGCAGAACACATGGGTGTAATATAAAGCGAATGTGAACTGTATTGTAAGGCTGCTCCCTGCTGGAGGAACAGTGGTAAAGACTGACTCAGTATTCATCACATGCTCTCCAGCTTGAAGGTAAACCAAGGTATTTTAAATAGTGGATCATCATAATCTTGAATGCTATGAATTGATACCTGATGATACTGCTTTGAGAAACATTAAAGTCCAACATGTTGAGGGTGGCCACTCTTAAGTTTGTCTGTATCGGTGACATCACTATCAATGATCTCAACTAGTGATGGGCCAGCCTCATAAAACCTGCAGTCTTTGTCTCCCTCTGCTGGGGGTTTGAGGAATCTTGGGTATGAAACATGCTTCCTAAAAAGCTGAATCAAATCAAATGTTATGCTACATTTAGGAATTATACACATGATTATTGAATATGATGTTTTGTTCTGGTTTTAAAAAAAAAAAGTTAAAATAATTTAAGTATTGCCACAGATTTGAGAACACGAGCAAAACTGAAATAACAGAAACAAGACTTAGAAGATTAGATAAGATTATAATAAATGGATATTATCATAGCTTTCTTTATATGGAGTTGGACACCAGAACAATGAAAGGCAGGGTATATTTTAAGCTCTGTTTATAAGATGCATGTATGTAAAAAAGTATATTTCCATAAAAAGCTGAAAAGTATCTAATAATGATAAACTATAGAGTTAGTGATTCACCTACAAAAGTAAAGGCTATCATGGTGTCATGTCAGGTCGAGTCAATTTCATGAAGACCAATTAAAAATTTGTCTCAGAGGGCTTTACAATCTGTACACCATATGGCGTCCTCTGTCCTTAAACCCTTGATTTGGATAAAGAAACACACCCAAACTTTTTAAAAAGACCTTACTAATGAGGACTGCTGCTCTGATCGGCAGCCTTACTGAAGGAGAGACGTTTCCACAGTGGTGTATGAATAAAACAGACCATTTCCTGCCAAGCTTCAAAATCTAAAAGTACCAAAGCATTATCAACAGAATGTATTAAAAAGTATTAAAAGTAAAAGTGCTTATAAAGCAGAACAGCCCCTGTGTTAAAGCAGTTGGTTGAGGTGGAGCTAATTCTAACTGCTTTATATACTGCTTGGTTTTTTAATCAATAGCAATGTATCATATATCATGAACTGATCAAACATTTTGTTTGTAAAATCTCACTCTGAAAAGCAAGTTGTAACTATAGTTCTTAAATAACTAATAGTGTAAAAAGCTTACATTAAAAATAACCCAGTTACATTTAAAAAAAAACTCAATTTGGGTCAATCCTACACCAACGTAATACTGGGTTAACTTTAACCACTACGCATGGATAGACAACTACCCAAGCCTAGGGCTGTTTTGAAATACTGTCAGGTTATTTACTACAACTAAAATATATTATAGTTGCAAACTGTTACTGTTACTCTAGTTATTTTTATCACTGTCCACATACACATGACAACAGTATCTAAATGTGTGTGTGTGTGTGTGTGTGTGTGTGTGTGTGTGTGTTTTTGTTCATATTCTGTATATATTTGTTCACGTACTTCTTATTATTCTTATTGTCATACTTCAAAGATTAGTTTTTAGATGGGGAATTTGGTGTTGTTCTATTTTAACAAACCACTAGAGGGCAATGTTGTTCTCTCTGTCTTTCTCTCTCTCTCTCTCCCTCTCTCCCTCCCTCTCTTTCTCTTCCTGATATCAGTTAAAAATACAATTTTTTTAAAATCTTGAGCAAAATTCATCTCTTTGTTTTGTTCACCAAAAACCTACTTTTGCAGATTGCAGCAGTAAATTCTCCAAACTCCTCACTAAACTGTAATCATGACCATTTAGTTGCATCACATGCTGTTTGTATGAATAATTGACTATGGATTTCTCAAACATAATATGATTTATATGAAGTCCTGATTTTGTGGCTATATAATATGCTGAATGTGGTATTCACATCTTTTACTTACGTAAATGTAGAAATATCGCAATGTTAAAGTACTCAATAAAATTCCTGTTCTTAGTTCAATGAGGAAAAATGTACAAGTAATATCAGCAAAATGTGTAATATCAGACTTTAATTACTTATTCTCCAGAGGGCTCCAAAGTATTTTGCCCTATGCATATTTAATACAAATATCATTATTTTACTACCATTTTCATTCATGGAACGCCCACATGGTATGTGCAAATGCAAATGTGAATTGGATTACTGCATTTTCCTTTTGCTAGTCTTTATTTTGCTGGACTGAAGAGCAGCAGGAGAACAGGTGTGCTAGCTGGGCAGCTCACCCAGGTGCCTTGAGTGTTCTTTGTTCTGTGACCTGAGCTCATTCTCTCCCCTTTAGCTGAGCTGGTTCTGTCTATCATTTCACCTTTGTTCCTGAATGCGTTGAGTGAGTTTATTTCATTATTCCTTAAGTCATGTTTATTTTGTTGTTAAGTAGTACATCTAATGTCAATGGTTTGTTCTCACATGATTATATATTTAAAGTGAGAATGTATTGATTTACTAATTTTTGATTTTAGCCTGTTATTTTTCTGCACTAGATACTTTGAGGATGGAACAATATCATAATCATAGATTGTGCATTTAAAGAAGGAACCAGCCCTTTTGAAAAATTCACATTTCTCTGCCCCAGAACAGATTGGTGAATATTTTTGAACATGCAGCATTCTCCCTCTAAAGTTAGAAGCCAAAGGGAGAACCTTAAAATGTGCAATGTCATCCCAGTTTGTTCTATAACAATGAATGGGGATCTGATGCTGTGAGGCAATAAAATGTAATTTCTTACACCAAAATGAGTGTTTTATATCTTAAACCTTATGTCCAATTTAAAATCTGGATGAGACCTGTTAAGAGGTGCACTACACAGCTACTGTAGATTATGGGGTTAGTGAGGTATTGCATTTCTCCCAGTGGCTCAAAGTAATTTGAGCTATATAACTTCAGTATAGCCTGACTGCTGAAAACAGAATATGACATAGGCAAGTTTATACTTCCAGAGTATGTTTTTCTACTGTATTAGTTCATCATTTGCACTCATTATCTCTTAATGTGGGGGGTAAAATAAAAAAGTGCATTCTGTGCTTCCATTTGTCACTTATGACATTTGGTCGATATTTAAATGGAACAAACAACTGTTGACACAGAACAAAGTCAGTGTCCTTGTGTTGTCTGTGTGATTTCTAGCTTTAAGACAGATAATACAGACTTAACCGTCCTTGGGCACCGGAATAACATGTGACATTTCAGCCTTTTATTTAGTCAAAATTTCTTTCAAATAAATGGACTGTATGTTCACGAATGTTGTGTTTATAATTTATTAGTATCTTAAGCTACATACACAGCTGCTGTTGGACTTTTACCTTCACTTCCTGCTGCAGTTCGTGGCTTTTAGCTGCAACTTATGAACGTTCCTTTATGGATTTTGTGTTACTTGCAGCTGGACTTCATGTTTGCTGGTTCACTCTTTCCTTTCCCGTGTGTCCATGAAACAAAGCGGCAAAACTCGTCAAAACACCGGATTTCTCGGCCCAGTCTCGGGCCGAGTCATCGGAATAACGACAAGAGTAAATTAAACTGTGGAACCATCGATGTGGGGAACATGGATTTAGGCCTATAATAAGCATTGGGTACGAAGACTACATCCATTGTGGGGAGCAAATAAATACCTGTTAGAGACAGTTGAGCGGGAAGCGGAAGGGAAAAAACCAAACGGAAGAGGGGCTAAGCTTTTCATACACTGCCCCCATGCGGGCAACAAAAGACCATTAGTCTCCAGGGCTGAAAAAGTGAAGCCAATGTGGAAGTGCCTTAAAAACAGGTATTTTTGGGGGCGTGCCTGTTTTATTGGCATGCATGGTCTGCAATGATTGATCAGCTGACGAGGCAGGCTGGGAGGTTGATCACCAGAGGAGAGCTTGGGTCGAGTGCGCATCGTATTGACTCAGTTGTGTTAAATTGTTTATCACAAAGAAAAAGACTGTTGGATTCAGGGGTGCTGCTTCTTGTGTTTTTGGGTTGGTTAGAAAAGTGCAACATCTACTGGCCTGAATGCACAATGGGCAAATACAAAGGTTTGTGCATCACAAATTGAATGCAAGTATATTGGAAAGCATGATTGTATTTTATAATCCAAGCATAGATTAATATACTGTAAAAGCAAATCAAAATATGTTTTGTATGCATCAAATGTGTCAATATTAGTCAAATTAAGCTCAGTGTCTTTGTTTTAACTTAAGTGTCAAAACTGTAAGTTGGTTTGCAATGTGGGCAAAGAACATGTAGCTTTACTTTTAAATGTCAGCTTTGGTGGTATTGCTGTAAAGGTGCAATATAATATGTGGCCAGAACTTTAGTTTAAAATGTTCAAACAATGAACACG